TAGTAAATTTTGAATTGATTCAAGTTACGTTAGTTTTTTATTGTCACTCAATATTCGAACAACCCGAGGTTCCAATGTATATTTTTTGTGTGTAGTTCAATTATGTGGTGAGTGGAAGAAAACGCGCGTCTAGTAGTATTTCGGTATTGGCAGGAGGGGAGAATTAAGGGCGCGTGTCCTTAATTATCTATGTGTGTGTTTCTCTCTCTGTCTCCCTCTTTCACTCTCGATCTGCGCGTGTTATATATTTTTTTCTTGTTCATTTCCCGGTTGGCTCTCCGTCGTTTGTAGATGAGGTGCCATGCGCGAGGGGTTGGTCCGCTTCCGGTACAACCGCCCCCGCCGGCAACCCTGGCAACCGTAGTATTGACTTTTGCCGCCTCCACCGACGCCATCTTAACAACATGGCGTTCGAGGGGGGTAGGTTTACGTAATGCCATATTAATGCGGCGGCGGCGACGGAGTTGGAAGGAATGCCGGTTTCGGGCAGCGGCTTCGAACCAAACGGCGGCCGACAGAAATTAAAATCCGGTACGCACAACTGATCCATCGATCAAAGTCAAATGATATTAATAATCAAAAAGCACGATGCGTTTTTCCACTCCCGTTCTCCGCTCCGCACTTCATCCTCACCATCTCGTTACCATTATTAACCATTTGCTGGAGCGAAATCATCGCCGATTATCCGCGCGCGCTCGGGTGAAGATACGGTATAGGTGTATAGAGAGTTGGATGGAACGCCGTGGAAATCCATTTGGAGTCATAATTTAGCCGAGGCATGTTTTGAATGCTCGGATAATAAGAATATAAAGCGCCCAGCTGGTAGCCGCCGGACCACCGCAGGTGACAATTTATAATTTTATTAAAAAGCCAGCGACTGCACGAACCTCCTGTATGAAGTTATTAATGCCCTTTGATGGTATTATTTACACGACGAAAATTAATACGTAACTACTTGAAAATTCCGAATGGAAAGACAAGAAGTGCGCACGGCGGAGGGAGCCAAAACCGACAAGAGAATAAAACGAATGCAAAGAGATCCTTTCACAAAACGCACGATAAATCATATGTGCCTGCGTTATATATGTATATAACATATATACACACAAACTCACACAAACCATAACATATATCGAAAAGGCTTTTCTAAAACTGGGCTAGGCCTCCGCCGCTGCTCGCATAACAATCAATTTATTATTAAATATTTTCCGTACTCCGGCTCTGAACCAGATATTTTTGTGTTTGTATTTAGTAAGCCGCTACCAGTTCAAAGACTTCCTCATACCCGGACCTCGGCCGGTCGCGCTCCCAGCTCCACAAATCACATCACCTTTTCTCTTTTTTTTCTCTCTTCTCTTTCTCGTTGTAATATACCCATGAGACCGTTGCCCAACGTCGCTCCGTCCTTCTCCGATCTTCAGCTTCCTTCGCGAGGAACGAAAAGAGAGAGATAGTCAGAAAAATTGTACGAAATGATAAATCGAACTTCGGCTAATATCAAATCCGTTTCAGGTAGCCGAGAACACTCTACTTAATAAAATTGTTACAACTTTCAATGCTGCACGCATACTTAGCAAACGGTGATTTAGTACTGATTCGGTGATTTAGAAGTAGTAGTGCGTTGTGTACTACGTAGTACTAATACACCAGATGTCCGAATATTATCGCCGTGGCTTTCTTCCATCCAATTATAATTATAACTTGGATACCATAAATCTTCCGATTTCCAACGCCGAACTTCATTTGAATAATACTAATGAAAACATTTATTCATAAACGCAGCTCTCGAAACGATCGATTGCTAACGCTTACAATTACGTAACACAAAAGAAACAATCGAATTTCGAGAAATTATTATTTAATTGCATGCTTTTGATGCGACTCTATAAGTATTCCAATAAAAAAAATAACGAAATAATGTATTTGCTTATTGTGAACATTATTATTTTATTATTTTCAAATACTAAATTTCCATAACACATAATTACTTTATTAAATTGCTAGTGTAACAATTCTTACTATTTTGAACAAAATTAGTGTGACTGGACAATGAAACAATAATTTAAGCAAAGACTTCATACAATTTTATTATAAAACTTATTATTTCATGATATGATAGGTGATGAAATTTCTTCTAAAGTTTTGTTAACTTGTCTTTCAGCAAGTCAGACGAATTGCAATTTTCGTGCGGTAAATTTGTAATTCCGAGACGAAAATTCCCACGTCGTGCACAACAACATTTTTTTTTCGTGATTCGTTCGCTCGTTTATTAATGTTTATTGATACGCAACGCAATTAATTTTCATATAATTAATAATTCATAAACGCTTTTTACACGGTTTCACTACCGTTGCTGCAATAAATTTAAGCGAACCACTGTTGCGAGTCTTGATGTTTGCTGCAACTGTGAACCGGCAGAAGGAGAGACAGAAAAAATATATATATGTGTATAAAGAATAAACGCATCTGGATAATGTGACAGTTCAATTAGTTACGACCGTCGATTGTTGAATAACTGATATCACTTATCGAATTGTCATTGATGTTTAAAATTTTATAAAAGTTAAGCAACAAAACTTACAACAAATTATTGTGATGATATTTTGATACATTTTTATAAATTAATGAGTGTTGAGATATTTTTGTAAATGAAAAATATCTCAAAAAATTTAATAAAAAATAAGCAAATGATTGCGTTGATATTTGGATCGATACATTTTCATCAAAGGTTGAATGCTGTGATAATTTCATGAATAAAAATATTTTAAGAACCTCAATTGCTACTATTATATTTTGATTGAGTATTTATTAATTATTTTAATAATTCTTTCTTTCATGTAAGACTGTAATTTTTCTATATTAATGTAATTCGTTTAAAATTGCTTTGTGTAGAGTTTAAGTGATTTCGAGCTTATGTGATTTCCTCGAGAGCGAGCGCGATGAAGAATTGACGGCGAACCGGTAACCAAGGAAACCGTGAATTGAAACAAAGCGACCTCTTTTAATTTTCTTTTGCAATTAGTTTGACGGTTTTCGTTTTCACAACTCCGCTTTTGTATGAGTGTGTCTGTTCATATTTATATATATATGTGTGAATGTGTGCGAGGTGAGTGTGAGTGCTGTTACGGAATGTTTGGTGCATGTAATTACATAGTTGTAACAATTTATTAAAAGCAATAATATAAATCAATGATATGCAAATGAAGAAAGTAGCCAATATATATTATTAAATGTAGTTCGGGGCTGTTGTTGGGAGTGAAAACAATGGCACAGCGCGCATGTTGCGCACCTCTAGGGCCTGCTTTGATTAATAACTTTGGACCCTCTTTTATTTTTTTTTTCATCATTTTCTCTCTCTCTCTTCATTTTACGTTTTCTCTTCGTCCATCCTCTAAAACGCTTATGAAGACAACAAAGATAAAAAATCTAATACGGCTATTTTCGAAAAGGAATCGAAACAAAAAGACTAATCCACAAAGTAATTAATCCGGGACAAACCGCATGTGGTTATCTAATCGTTCGCGAACAATTAAAATACGGATCTGTGCCCGGGTCATTTCGTTCTCTTGCTTTTTTTCCAACTGGTTTTGGTTGCAACATAACTTAAATATATATATAATACATATACATACTATATATTTTAGGCATGACATTACGAATGCTCACAATAGATCATTAATTGTCGGATTGTCATTACCGTTTCGAAAGTTTCTGGTTTAGGCGTGGTCCTCGGAATAAAAAAAACTATCTCTATATATATATAATAAAAGGTGTATCTAGATCCTCATCACGTTCGAAATTAGTTGAAAACTATGATCGATTATTATTTGATTTCGCGCTACTATACTCATGTTTAAAAAAAAATAAACTTCACTATGACACAAATTGACGTTTCAGATTTTTTTAAGCATATAATTTAAGGTGTATATAGATCTTCATCAATTTGAAAATTATGATCGATTGTTTTTATTTCGCGTTACTATTAATATATTACGTATATTTTGATTATTATTATAGATAATTATTTTGTACTTTGTTGAAAAACTGAATCTTTGTAAAAGATTGTTACTTTCGAGTTAATGAAATGAAAAAAAATGTCATATTTTTTGTTTGGGGTCGTTAATAGTTGCAGTGTGACATATTCGTGTGTTCCGCCCACACACGTGAATTATTTAAATCCCCCTTTGCGTTTTGTTTCGGAACCCCCAAAACGCGGACAGGTGTCGAACATTATGCAAATACGCGGCCGAACCGTCTTATTATCGGGTTAAATATTTAGGGCCTAAGTAGCACCTTTCAAAAAAATAAATGCAGCGAATGAAACAGAAACAACAGCAGCAGCAAAAAAAGAGACAACGAAAAGGTAAGTATAAATCGAAGTCCTGTTATTGATGACTCCGATGGGCGCTATTAACTCGATTCCCCTCATTCTTTCAAAATTGATTCATACACGTGTAATAAGTTTGATTTATTAGCGTTGCTACCGGGCGCAAAAAAACACAGAAGATGAACAACAGCAGCATTTGGAAGAGAAGGAAACCCATCCGAGACAAGATTAAGTGTTTCCATTTCTTTTTTTTTCTTGTCTCTCTTCTGCTCGTTTGTTTCCTTTCCGTTGGAGACTTTTTGAATCCAATTCCTCGCAGGAGTCATTGTAGTTACCACGGGCAATAATCTGAATCTCGATGGTTATCTGGGTGGAAAAGAGCTATTCGGGGCACAATGGTTCACGCGGAGCGGTAGCGAACTTATCTACGAATCTACTCACTCGAAATATGTTTTTAAAATTAGCTCTTGTGCACCATTTGCGCCCGTCTCTTCAGAGGACCACCATCCAATCCTCTCTCTTCCTTCTCTTCCCGTCTACTGATGCTGCTGCTGAGGTCGTCCGACCTGAATGGGCGCCGTTCTTCTCGCATTCATTATAATGAGGCACACTCGATTTCAGATGCACACTAGGCCCCATTATCGCGCACTAAATATGCCAATTAAAAACTCACCAGTCTTCGTTTCGGTTTGATCAGCGGTCGATTCTGGCCGTTCATCTTGTAGTATAGGCCGCAGGCGTTGCACAGGTAATGGCCGGTGCCGTCGCGACGCCAAAGAGGTGTACTCGTGGCTCCGCAGTTTACGCACTCTCGACCCTCTGGATGATCATCAGCCACAGAAGGAGGAAGAAACAAAACAGAAGAAAGAAAAACAACAAATCAGTGATGGTATTAATTGAAACGTTCGCTGTTGGGTGCAAAAACAGAGAGAGAGTTATATATATATATATAGAGAGAGAAACGGCAGGAGATGGCAGGAATTATCAATGGGGGTAATCTCATGCGGAAACAGTAAATACATCGTGGCTACGTCCAACTAAATTAACTAATTAAATCACATATATAATAAAGAGTCTTTGATAACCGGTCGTGTGTGTGGTCTACATTAAGCGGAGATAGTCCTCGATCAGTCCTCGAGAGCTTTCGAACATAATAAAGGCACACAAACGATTATCAATTACACATTCAACAATCACCATGCCCAGAGTAGACTAGTTTTCGCTACGAACATGCAAAAAGCCAACAATAAAAGCAACGCTATTTTTTTTTAAATTTTATTTCATTTATTTTTTTCGCTATATTTTTTTGTATTTTCGTATGATTTCCATTCTCGTTTCCCTTCCTCGTGCATAGAGGGGTTTGTTTGTATCTGTCTATCTATATTCCGCAACAATCGGATAAAATTGAATTCGAACGCGCTGCAGTCCTCGGTATTCATAGCTTTTACGTATCATCGAAATCTCATTAAACGCTTGATCAGTTCGCTCCACCTGGGGATTGTCCCCGTACAACCCACAAAAAAAGCCCTCCTCTTCATAGTCAAACACGGTGCATCCGCTTTTCGGACATTGTGCGTTTATACTTATTTTTTTCTATCCTCTTTAAAACCAATTTCTGCTCTCGCCTTTGCGACCCCAAAAACGCTTGTGGTTTTCGGTTCTGCTACAAAAACACATTCGTCCAAAGAGACAGTTACACACACTCGCACATATATGTGTGCATGCATGTGTAAATCCATGTGTGTGTATATATATATTTAAAAAAAAAGGTAAATCCGATCCGTTCGTCCCTACTCAACGCAACGGCCACCAGCTTTTGACGTTTTTCCGACCAAACGATTTTCAACAACTCGACGAAAAAAATTATTTAACAAGGAGACAAAGAAGTAGCATCCACACACACAAAAAAAAACTAATCGAATTTCGATTTGTCAAAAAAAATAATAATAGAACGTGTTTCAATCTTTTCATAAATTCCTTCGGTATTCTTGCGTTAAATTATTAAACAGAAAAATTCAACTTATAATAAATTTTGGTATGACTTAACAATGATAAAAATTGTAGCATTATCTGTAACCAAAGTGATGTACTAATTTATGCAAATTAGAAGAATTATGGTTATTGATTTCATTAATATTAGATTTTTATTTAAATCTAGTCGTAGTATTTAAATAAATAAACGATTCACAGATTAATTTATTTGTTTATATTAAAAGATTAGAAAATTTAATTGTAATGTTATACTTATTATCTTTATGTAATTTTGTGTTTGTTTATATTATTTTTTACAAATATTCTGGTTCTATTATGTAAGAAATGTGAATGTTGTATTGTGTGAAAATTTTGACTTATCCTTAAGTAGTAAACCGTAATTCCATTGAGTGATTTTGGGTTTTTTTCAAGGGGATGAAATAAGAATTTATATAAATAGATTAGAGCAATTTGCGGAGGAAGTAGCCGAGGGCAAAGCTGATTAAAATTCGGATCCGTTTCTGTCTCCCCTCAAAAACGGGTCAGGGTGTTTAAAGAAAGTAAGTGTAGCGAAATTGGTTTTTGAGTTTATTTAATCGCTCAGTAAATACTGGGTTTCCGTTTTGCTGTGTGTACTTGTGTGTATGCGTGTTATTCGAAGGGAGGTTCTCTAATCGATTCGTCCGGCTGAAAAACTACCCCCCTTTGCGTTCTGGGCAGTGAGTTAGTGTGTGAGAGAGAGATATAAAGTGTAAGTAACAACATAGAACCGATCAATTTTACACCGCATTGCCCCGACCGCATATTTGCCGATGGTGTGTGCCTACCTACCCCGAAAAAGGGGGATGCGGGCCGTGAAACAATGCCTCGCACCATAATTAACACCCCCATGCATCCTCGAAGACCACGATGATCATCGAAACGGCGTTACTTCAGAAAACAATGATAAAGAAGAGGAGGATGAACACACACACAAATGAAGAAAAAAAACGACAAGCAGAATCACTGACGACACGAAGATTTCCACGGTGGGAAACGCTCTTCCTCGCGTTCAGCGCAATTTTTTAATTAGCTTGCTTCACGCATCGTTATAAATAAAATGGCGGATGTGCAACTTTGTTAATTGTTGCCCAGATACACACAACAACGGAACGGATGTTGCCGTCGCGAATGAACTTTTTTTTATATGCGCTCTTCTGCTGCTCCTCCGCAGTTCTATTTTGTTTTTGCCGTTCGTCTGTTTGGAAATAGAAAAAAAAGGAACTTAAAAATTGTAAAAGAAAATTTGTAAAAAATAAAAAGAATAGTTGAACAAACAACGTCTCTTTTTGTGCAACAGCCACACTGTGAAAAAAAATTAACAACAACGACGACAACGGATTTTGCGCATTTGTTTTTGAAGTCGTGTGTGTTTTTGGGTGAGTGTGTGCAATGGTGAGGCACACCAAAAATTAAAAAAACAAATAGAAACAAAAAACAAACACATTTTTTAAAGCTTGCTCAAAAATTAGTTAAGCTTCGCGGTTCACATTGTGGTTTGGGAAAACACAAATAATATTAAAAATAAAACAATAATAATAAATAAATTTATCGTATCTTAATTGTCGTAACTTAATTGTCGTAACTTAATATTGATTTACTAATTTATAATATTTGTTAATAATTAATATTCGCGTTAAACAATTAAGATCGATTGAATAAAGAAACTTGAAAGGAAATAAAACGAAAATTAAATAAAAATGATTTAAATAATATTTAAAAAATAAATCGATTAATCGTATCTGAATTCGCTTAATTTAATATTGATTTGTAGTTTAAATGGAAAATTCTTAAATAGTAAAGAATAATTTTAAAATATTTGTATCAATAGAAAATCAACGATAAGCAAATTTTAGACAGATTAATTAAGAAAAATAAATAAAACTAAATTGTTAATAAATGATAAGTAAAATTGGTTAAGAAAAATAAAATTATTAAAGAAATCAATCGTATTTGAATTCGCTTTTTTCATAGAAGATTTCTAGTTAAAAATTTGTTAAACTACTATTAAGTGCATTTCATTATTGAATATTTTAAAAGTTAAAAGGAAATAATAAGCGAATTGAAATCGATTGATTGAGGAAAATAAAACTAAAATGTTAATAAATGATTAGTAAAATTAAAGTAATAAATAAATTTGTTTTTTTTTTTGTTGTGCACGCTATATATTTTTTTCCTCTTTTCTGAAATACTCGATTGCAATTGGGCAATTTATTCACAGGGGAGTTATCAGAGCGCGGAAAGAGGCATTGTTTTGTAATTAATGTCTCGTTTTTAATTCGTTTCGTAATTTACTTTCGGACCTTGAGCGTTTCAGAATTCGAGTGAAAAAAAAACAAAGAACGTGAGCACAACAAAAACAAAAACAAAAGGAGAGAGAAAAAAAACAAACGAAAAACAAAACGAAAAGTTGGATTGTGACTGGGGAGGCGGTGATGGGAACGTTTTGAATGGTGACTCCGGTGATTTTGTTTTTGTTTTGTTTGAAATGTAAGTAATATACTTGGTCGTTGTTAGTTTTGCTGTTAGAGGTTATTTTTTGTTATTATTGAAAATGATTATTTTTTTTTGCTTTTTGAAGTTTTGCTGATCTTACCGGCGCTGGTTCTAGATTTGTTGCGTGGTTTGTTGGGCGACTGAGCGCCCTGCCCTGTATACTGTTGTTTTTGGGGGTGGTTGTAGACCACCGCCGCACCATGAATACCGTGGCCATACGCAGAGGACGAGCCATACGAGCTCTCAAAGTTACCATTGAACATGCCAGCGGACGTCCCCTCATATTCACTACCTTCACGCTGCTTGTTGTTTGCGGCAGCCGCGGCCGCCGCCGCTGCCGCCACCGACGGCTTGATGTCCAGGGCGCAACTCTGCTGGTTGTCGTGCATGAAGGCACCCATCGCCGCCGCCACGGCGCTCTGGTACTCCTGTCCTCCGGCCGGCGCTATCGAATCAGGAGTGCTATCCTTCGGCGGCGTCGGTGGGAACGAGAAAAGGTTGTGCGGTTGCGACGCCGCCACCGACGATGGCGATTGCGACTTATCAGGATCGCCTCCACCTCCTCCACCGCCGCCACCACCGAACGGCACCCAAGGGCTCGAGTGGTTCAGCGGTTTCGAATCTGATAGCCAGGGATGAAGAGGCGCGTGGAAGTGCGGTCTACACACTTGTCCCGAAGACATCCTCGAAGCTGCAACAACAAAAAAAAAACTCAAATTAGCAAAATAACCAAAACATTATACTATTTCACAATTGCAAATCCTGACAAAAAGCCAGAAGGATATAATAACAAACAAACCAAACGAGAGAGCGAAAAAAAAAGGATTTCGTTTAACGACTAGATTTATATATATATATTTGTGTCTCGTTGCTGCCGTGGCTCGAACGGCCTAAACTGATCAATACAACAGCCCCGATCGATTCCGTATAATTTCACCATTAAGCTGGTTTCTCTCCTCTCGCGCCACGACAATGTGGGAAAACACCTTTGGATATTCTCAAAATACGAAGCGAAAACAAAAACCCACCGCAGCGAGTTCGAAAAAATCGCCCAGAAGAACAACAAAAACAAAATAAAACAAAATCCCTGTGTATATCGTAATCCAAGATTTGCATCTAATTATAAATAAAAAATACCGCGCGTCTCAGCCCGAATCAAAGGTTTACATATAATTAAGGATTTACTTCTTCCACTCGCGCGATAATAAAGCTCTGTCTAAGTGCCTTGGTCAAAGAACCAATAACTCCGAATGCATTTGTACAACATCACGTTTAATTGGTACTTGTGTATCTCCCGTAAAGGCAATTGCCGTGAACCTTCGGCTTAATTGTTTCGCTGCTTAGAATTGTATTTGATTAAAATCCCATTTTTCCTATTTAATTACTAATATATTCTTAATTGTATCAACATAAATGAAGTTATTAATATCATCAACTAATTCTATTTCATACATTATAATCTTAATCCATTCAATAATCAATAATTCATATATAAATTATTGAATGCTTAAAATGTAATAAATTTTCATAATATCAAGAAAATTATTAATCCATTTTTGATTACTTTCCTTTTGAGACTTTGATAAATAAAAATAACTTAATATAATACATTCTCACATTAACAAGAAGCAAAAATATGCAAAGATTTATTAAACATATTTAATTGCATTAAAATTTATTTATTTTGACTATATTTGTGTTGTGAATTAAGTTATTCAATTATTGATATACGAAATTGATTTATTAATTCTATTGGTAATTTTCCAATTAATCTTATTTTATGAGCAACGGATTTAAATAAAGTTATTAATTTGAATAGCAAACATGTTAACACCTGGAAATAAATTAAATAAAAAAAACATATGTAATTGAATATTTGTAATGCAATCAATATTTATAGTAAGAAAATGGCATATTAACGTAAGTTAATATTGATTTAAAATATTTGAATTATAAAATTGTTTCTTTTAATGATATTTAAATGTTTATTAATTTGTATTAATTCTAATACTTTAATAAAAAATTGTTAAAGTTTCGATGTGGAAAATGTTATTAATATGAATACAGAAAAGTTGATATCTTTGTTGGAAGGGTTGAAGAAATAATTAAGATTGCCGTGCGAGCAACGACAGTTGAAATTCCCATCGCCTGACGAAATAATTATAATAATGCGCGTATATATACGCAGATGAGAGTGTGTGTGTATTTGGTGTGCGAGTAAATGAAATGGACAGGAAATATTCGGAGAGTTTAATACAATAATAATAATGGTGCGTGCGTGTAAAGCCCTTTTGGTTCGCATCTGCGGAAGTCCGTTAGAATCCCCGCTAATCTGAGTGCTATCTGCGATCGCATCGCGAGATAATCTTCGCATACGCACAATATATAGGTGTATGTATGAGTGTGTATGTGTGTATACTCACGCATATATATGTATATGCATGCGGCGGCCATTGTGGAAGTCCCCGTTAACATGGCGCGAGGCCAGGTGAGGGGTTAAAACCTCCCCAAAATGTTCGTTCGCAATTTATGTACACTCACATGCATAGGGTGGGATCAGATAAAACGCGAATGGGACGAAACTCCCATACTCGCCATACAAAACGCAGATGTCTAAAGTACACATACACAAAATGCACTGGACAAAAAAAAGGGGTTCGGGTCCCTCCCGTTGCGTGCGATATATATTTGGTGAAATGCTCCAATGGAAATCCTCATAAACATTTGTTTCAAAAGAAATATCTTGAAAATAAACGTTGAGATTTCATTGCAAATTCAAGAGCGTAATTACGTAATTCCAGTCTTCAATCAGGTCGAGATGAATTGAGCGTAGGTTCTTATTCGGCGTAAAATGGAGAAAATTATTCAATATTTCAATGTCGCCGCATCAGATGATTATTACCGGGAACGTTATTTCCACTGAATACGAAATTGGTTCATTCCAATTTCAGCCACTTGCAAAATTTCATGCAGTTAACATAATTTATTATCTTGTAATTATTAACTCTAACCATACATTTTCTACGTAAGCACTTGAAAATGTAAATACGATTAAACGCATTTTCTTTAATGAAAAATGTAACACTTGAAAATTGACTTTGCAACTAAATGCGTTTTGTTAAAAAGAAACAACTACAAGTTAAATCATATGAAATTCTCACAGTTAATACACGAATATATAGTAATTATTAATCCAACAATATTGACAAGAGATTTTGAAAATTTTACTGATAATTTAATGCATGAACACTTTTTAACTATCAAAATAAACAAATTTATATTTTGAATGCAATACGACACGCTTAGTTTCGACGAATTATTTCGGAAAAACGTTCACTTTATATAAACAAAAGCAGAAACAAACACATAATTTATGTTACGTCGAAAGATCCTTTTTTTTAAGAGAACAAAAAAAAAATAAAGAAAGACACGATGTGATGTTCTGCATTTTGGCGAACGGATTCCGCGAAACACAGGTAAGAAAAAACTGTAACCTTACTCCGATGAAAAATTACTTACCCAAAATGTCGCATGGCGGACAATTTTAATTGAGAAATTTTCAAAGAAAGTGAAAAAATGCTTTTAGTTTAAAACCGAATTATTTATGCGAATTGTTCTTTCTTAATTAGACTATTTGTTTATTTTTATTCAGTATAAACCTACATTAAAAAAGGTATATTTTTAATCTGTAGACAAAAGCAAAAATATTGGACAAAACAAATAAAATTAAAAATAATTTTGTAAATTGTTAAATCCACAGAGATAAGAATTAATTCTACAAATTTCCTTTTTTAGAAATTTGTTTCTATATTTATTGCAATATATCATTCAAAACATTGTTGTAAAATATACAGATTTAATTTTACTGTATTATTTAAATGGATTCCGTCGGGTTTCTCAATTATAAATTCTAATGTGGAATAAATAAAGTTGTTACTATGCATTTGCTTTCAGAGCGAAATTAGAATTTTACAGTTAGTCGTATTGAAAAATTCATTGTGTTTTAGAAGTGACATTAAAGTCGGTGGACCGGATTCGAGTAAATGAATAAGATTAATAAGAAATTGATTGTAAAGTTATAGTATCATTGCATTTAACGATCAAATTCGATTTCTATTGAAGAATAAAAAGATGAAATATGTATATTAAAAAAAAGAACAAAAGAGAAAGAGTGAACTGATTGCAATGGATCGTTTTAGTGGAGATGAACAGATAACATCGTTGCAATTGCAGATTATTATTTTTTTTTGCTTTCGAGTTTCTCTTTTTCGTTGCGTTTTGCAAATGAAAATGCTCGAGTTCTTCTGGCTGCAATTTGGTTTGGGTCATGGTTGTTCGAGAGATGTAGATGTGGATCCTTGCGCTGCTACAACAAGGGCCGCACTATAATAACGCAGCCGCCTGTTTTATCCATACATATTTATTTTTATTCATTTTTTTTGTTGTCTTTACATATATATAATTCTTTATATGTGTGTGAGTGTGTGTGCATGTGTATATGTATACGGTTTAATATTTATGCGATGGTCGAAAGTCTCGCGCGCGCTATACGCGGACATTTTTATGATAGCGGCGGCTGAGATATAGCGCTATCAACTTACTCACTTTTATACGTTGAAACCAAAACGGATCGTATTTCAAACTCTCGACTCCTCGGGTTCATAACAACAAAACGCACGGGGCGAGAGAGGATGGGGGGTTGGAACGGGGGAGGCGGCGGCCACAAATCGGAGGTGGCTCCATCTGCCGGCGGCGGTGCGGAAAGCGGGCACCAGAAATGGGTCAAATTAATTTGAGATGCAATTGTTTCAAGGACAGATGGAAACAATGCACGCCGCCGCATTACGCAAAGCCTCCGAGAGAAACGGAGAAGAGCAACAAACAACAACAGCAAAAAAAAAATAAGAAACACACGATGATGATGATGATGATAATGATTCCGAGGAGATGCGTTGCGAAAGGCGTTAGAAATCGTATTTTTTTTATATTTTACAAAATTTCGCCTTTCCACAACACCTCCAATTCCACCGCGTTTACAAAACACTGGAGGTTCATTGATTTCGAACGAAGCAAAGTGAAATCATTACTAATACAAAAATAATGCCTTTTGTGTTGATCATTATTTCGATATTAGATCAGATCCTATCGCACTTCCTTCCTGCGTTTTCTATCCAACACACACACACAAAACCCAACTAAAATAATAATAATAGCAACGAAACACGTACGTGTTTGTGTGAGCATAATGAACGTATACATATATTTACACAAACACACAAAAAAAACAATACAATTACGTGGTTAATACAGAAGGAATCCCAAAAATACATTACTCCGTCGAAAACAAATATATGCAATGTTTCAATTGTGTTTTTTTTGTCAAGTCCTGATAAAATTCGAAGATAAAAAGTGATCTAATTTTATATAAAATTTATATAAAATCAGCAGATAAAAAGTTTTTATCTTCACATGAAATTTTGTTTGACGTATATTTGCCAGGGCGCCGCTCTCCACATTATAAGAGGATAGATAATCACGCATTTATTCATTTTAATCATCAACTAACTTAAATTCTTGGAATCGCATGAATTTATTCGCGTAATAAATCACGCCTGAATGTTTGTAAATCTACAAATTTCGTCATAATTTCAACTTGAATATTCACTTCTAATTAGTTAAGTTTATGTTCGCACATATCGTTTCGACCTACGACCTAAAAAATAATAATTCAGTCAACAAAAAATGATATTTTTCTCAAACTGATTATTTTCTTAGAAATAAATTTATAAAAGTTTTTGAAAATTAAAAACTTCATCAAAAATACCTCAAAAATAAATAAATATAAATTGTGTTGAAAAATAAAACGATACAACTGAATTGAAAATTCAGAGTAAAAAAAATATTGGATTCGCAATGGATATTGCCAAATAATGACGCTTTTCGCAAAATTACGTAAGACGAAATAACAGAAAGAGATGCAGATTGCATAAAAAAATATAACTAATATAACTAATTTCATATAACTAATTTCTTCATTTATTTAAAATAATATTATTTAATTAGCAATAATTATATAGTTAAACTCAGCACAAAAGTGTGAAATAAAAAAAAGTAAAATAATAATTTGTTTTTTTTATACACTTTCTTAATGATAATGTTATGTTATGGTAATATTCGAGAACCGCAGAGATTAATATATTGGTACATTGGTTTAGTAATAAATGTATTCATTACAATTGCATAAGAAAGAAAATCGGGTTGCGTTACAAGTACAATTACAGGATATTAATTACGAAGGTAATTATATTTTCCGTTTCATTCTTTATGTCTCCTTTTTATATATGTATTAAGATTTTATTTAAAAAAATTTAAATTGTAAAAGTTTCAAATATTTATTTTTAAATTATAGCTTTTCTATGTGATTTTGAGACAAGTATTTCCATCTATAGTTTGAAGTAAAAGTCGATGATGTCCAGTGAGTTGTATTGTTAAAAGTAACGTGAAGGAATGTTTTGCCGATGAAGAAATATGTATATTAAAAAGGATAGGAAATGAGCAGAGCTCGTAAGAAGAAAACAATAAAGAAATATTTTTGAGGAAACGGAACAAGATGAATCAGGCAATATTTATGGTTTCTATTTTATAGAGAATCTCGAGTTGAATGAGCCGCACGTACGGAATACCAATTTTCGTCCGGATCTTCTCGTCCTCTCTCTCTCTCCCTCACTTAAACTCTTCGTTTGTTCTCGAGGAAGAAGACGTTGCTGAGTTGAGTGAGTGAGCGGTAGGCGGTTTAATGATTTTGCTTGGAAAAACATTACATAAAAAAAATATCAAATACCGTCGGAGGAGACGGTTTACGAGCGAGCGTCGTTTGATTTCTGCGCCATGCATCGATTATATGACGAAATTATTTATTATTATTTATTCATATGGGCTCATTGGGATTCTCGCTGGGCGACTTGCGGCTATCACAAACGAAAAACATTTCGTAGAAACCATAGCATACCATTTTCATTCCGCTTCCTCGCATGCAGCAACCATTCACTCAGTGTCTTCGCGCCGCGCTCTATGTTCGATTCAATAATGTATTAAATCAATACGAAACAAAATAAACAACTGTTGTACATGATTCACATATTTTCCTGAAAAAAACAAGCCTCTATACTTTCTATCCATTTTTCAACATTAATCCTCACTATACAATTAAAATTAACAAATGTATTTTTAATTAGTATTTAATTCGCATTAGGGCTTTCCCAGTGTAATTACAATCAATTAATAATAATTTGTTTCATTCATTTCAATCTGCAATTAAAAACAAACAATTTAGAAACTAAAAAAACGTTAATTTGAATTTTAAAAAAACATATAAATTTAAATAAATATGTAAATTTACTAATAAACTATTGTTTTCAAACTGTACATGTTAAAGAAATTAACAAATATTAATTTAAATCTTGTTGTTTTTGTAACCTAAATGAAACTAACAAATTGTAATATAATAAAAAAATGTCATTGGATTAAAAAAAATACAACTAAATCTATCTCAATACGATAAAAAAACTGTGTAATTCTTAAGTAACTTAATATAACGAAGAAATAATTGTTATATCGGAAAGTACAAATGTATTTTGTTTTAAGTGGAAATAAAAGACATTTAAGCGTGTCCGTCTGCCCCGTTCTCGGTTACATAACGTCGAAATTGACAACCGATTAAACATCGTCTCGGGTTTTAAAACGCAGGTAAAAGGCGTTCCACGACCCGAATCGACAGTTCGAAAATTTTAAAGATTTCCATTATTTATCGGATTTCCAACTGTTGCTGTGCATGAGAAGTACAACATATGTATAATTTATGCTCGGACACTTAAAAATAGTGCATTTTGTGTAGCGTATGAATGCAAACGCTAAAAATAATGGTTCTATTTTAAAATAATTCTTTTGGACGTCGATATTTGCGTTAAGATCAGTACAGATAATTATGCTTTATTTTTTGTAAAAAATAAGTTTATTTTAATACAAGTAGCTATTTTCGAATAATATTTTTTGTGTGTTTTTTTTTGTATAGAATACTTGGGAATTTTTAGAAAATTTTATCTTATTATTTGTATTACTTCTAAAATCTTAAATTATTAGATTTATTCGTAATGTGAATCAAATACAATTTTTTATTAAAAGTAAGTAAAATGTTCTGATTTAATGAAAATGTAATATTTTTGTTGTAGATTTGTAGAATTATCGTATACAATTTGAGAAGTAAACTAATAATTCAAAACGCCAAATTATATGTTAATAAAATCAGGCGATAAATTTAAAGCTTTCGATACTAACGGTGATAAAATATGCGTTGTAAATGATTGCGTAACGGGCTGTTAATTTGATTTTGGTTTTAGAATTTTGTAGACGGAGAAAGTTTACCGGGGGAGGGAAAGTTTTTTTGTGTGAACGACGCACAGCCCATTTGCGAGTTAACGAGATTTTGGAGAAAAACCTGCTTTTCCAGTAAGAAGGACACAAATATATAAACATAATGACGAAGGGGCTTACGAATATCTTAGACTTATAGGGTTAAGAAGGCTGAATAATAATAAGGTGCTTACCGTGCGTCGCGACGCTCCCGTAGGGCGAATGCATGCTCTGGTGGTAGTATCTTGCTGCCCTTTGTGTGCCCGAAGGGTCCAGGAAGAAGGCTCCCATGTGTTCGGCAACGCTTGGATTGATATCCGATGCAACGGAACCCTCTGCCGCGGCCGCTGCCGCCGCCGCTCCCTGATGCGAAGGGCTTACCGAATTCCCCGTGCGGGGTGTTTCGTACCATCGCGCGGCGCTCTCGTTGGTCATCTCCATAATCATTTATGCCCTCTCCAAGGGATTCTTTATCACTTCATAGCACACTCACGAACCAAAAGGGGCGAAAAAAATCCCTGATCGACGGTGAACGGAACGATCAATTGAGGAGAAACAGTACTCCTTTAGTAATTCGAACTATTCGTCAAACAGAAACAGTAACAGAAGAGGAAAAAAATCACTTGTTCGTTGGTTCCGCGATTCTCGTTCGTTCGCCGAGCGTCGGATCAAGTACTCTCGATCTGCAAAAGAAGCCTCTATAAGAATTGTTATATAACAGGGATCAGAAAACAATATATATATTAAAAAAAAAATCGTAATACAAAAATGAAATAAACGAAATATCCATTACATTTGTTTTTGAGTTATCTCTTATCAAAGCTTCCATTTGCGAAACAAAAACCTTTCGAGCTTCCATTATTCGCCTCGATAAAGCAACCATTGATTCGGTTTTCGACTTTGTTTTCAAACACTCCAGATTGTCCTCACCCCAAAAAAAAAACTTTTCAAAATCAAACGGCAGCAATAGTGGTTATCTTAAGTGCGCATTATGGTTGAACAATTGTACTGAAACATTGGCACGCACAATTGCGCATTTATTTGTACCATTTTTTTATCCATTGAAACAAATCAATTACATTTAATATCAACATTTCGTCCAAAATCAAACTTATTTCTATTAAAACAATTTCTTATCCATTTCATATACATTCAAATAAATGAATTGAAGTTAATAAATCAATATTTTATTTATCTTATAAAAAATATAAATTTCACTTAATAAAAGTATTTTACAATTCATCCAAATTTATACTTTTCTATCACTTAAAAAAAATCGCTTTTAATTTTAAATTTTAATTCATAAAATATTAATAATTTCAAAGTATAAAATAATTACTAAACAAATAACATTATCAGTTAATCGCATCGCTTTATAAGTAGTTTATTCTGCAAGTAATGAAAGCGTTTTATATAATAAATAATTTTTAAAAAAAACAAGTAATCTAGTTTCCTAGTTTTCGCTTATCATTACGCATTTACTTAAATAATAACACACTAGATTATAAATATATTTTTTTCTAATTACCATTCGTTATCAAGTCGAGTATTTTGTATTATTCAAATTCACTTATCGCAATTGTCGTTCATTGTTCGACAATCGAACGTTAATTAAGTTTAATTCATTTTTATTAGATAACTTCTGAATATATAAATGTAAATATTTTTGTATTTCAATCTTTATTTTTACATAATAAATAATTAATTTAAAATTTGTTTTATTATTATATATACAACGTTGTTTTCTTTAAATTAGAATTATTCAATTTATGTAAATAACATTTGAATAAAAAAACTTATTCGATTTATATGAATTTATTTAATTATATTTGAATAAAATGTAATTTGTTCCTTAGTTTCTTATTACTTTATTAACTCAATTTGATTTATGTAACTGTATTGAATTCGATTTAAATTAAATGTAATTGTTACTTTTAGAGACTGCTATAATCTGTGAAAAATGTAAGACAATCGTAACATGAATTGTTGTTTTTGGATATGGATGATGTACAATGCGAAAATACTTTTTTTTTGCTTTATAAATAGATGTGAAATCTCGAGTGATTTGATAAAAAACTGATTCGTTATCGGTATATTCATTTTTAACCTACAGATATTTTGTATTTACTTGCGGGTTTCGACAGCCACCGAATACGTGATTGAATATTGATACGAATCATAGGTCAACGCCGATGAGATTTGTGATAACGCAGAAATTAAATTGTAATCTCGATTTGCTACATCCTTGTTCTCCGCGATAAGATAAAGACGATTAAGTGAACCTTCGTTCATGTAAGGATTTCGTTTATTTTATTTTTCTCTTGTGATTTTCTTTTTATATATATATTATATTCAACGGGTACGGATTTTCGATGTGTTTAATCAATATATCGAGGGACTCACCGGAAAAACAAAATATAATTATATATATTTTTGTGTTTGTATATATATTGGTGTGTATGTATATAATCAAATGTATTTGCGTTTCTGCGGTGAATGCGGTTTTGAGGGAAAAAATCCTAAAGCACTGGCACGCACCCACTGGTTTATATATATTATAAATATCAAAATCACAGTCAAAGTTTGTTGTTGTTGTTTTCGGCGCCAATTGGATATTTCAAAAGGTATCACAAAATGTACTCATGTTTGGTCCAAAGCACAAAAATGTTGTTTGAAAACTCGTGCAACACGACGCAACCACGATCAGATACGCGACCGTACTAAGTGTTGCCAGGAAAGCTTTGGTCGTTACCCTTGGCAACGAGGCTCGTGCATTCCCGGTAGGCGTCGTGAATACGGTCCGCGCGATTGGTGAGCGCGTCCGGAGGAGGCAGAGCCGATGCGCGTAGGCGTGGTTACAGCTCGCGGAGGTGCTCAATTTCGAAATTATTTATTGCACTTTTTCCAGCTCGAACCTGCCTGCCATGGGTGTATAAAATAATGAACGAACGAATTTTCGAAAATCGCGCGCGATTTTTGTTGCTTCCCGCGCGAGATTTTCGTATGTGTGTGTGTGTGTGTGTGTGTGTGAGAGTGTGTTGTTTTATTTTTAGAAATTTTTGTTCTTCCCGTTGGTTCGTTTTCATACCGATGGGTGGGCGCGGTGGGTTTTGCGTGGCGCTGGTCTCTCTTAAGATTGCCGAGGTCTTGTGGCAGTTCGGTTCGGAAAAGGAGGGAGAGATCCTCCAATCAGATAAGGCCTCGTAACAAAACATTACTATTTGACAAAATGGCGACCACAAATCAACACGCCCCACCCATTTAACGATTGTCTGGCCCCCTATTTCGAATTCCGCGACTCCGCATTGGCTCCCTTTCCTGCCGATTCCTTCTTTTTACCGTGCTCCGCTCGCTCTTCTCGCCGGCGATTTCATTCTTTTCGCTCTCCGCCTAAATTCCGTAAATCCAAAAAATTAACTGATTAACGTGAAAAGAAACAATTTATACACTTCAATTGAATGGATCGGATTGGAAGTCGTCGATCAATGACCATCCAGGTTTTTCTTGTTTTTTTTCTTCTCTCTCACACACAACTTCCTTCGAAATCGTTTCATACTTTAGAGCGTGCGGCTGCCGGGATTGATCCCATTTTCGGGAATTATTTTTTAAACCTTCTCTGTTATTAGTTTTAGTGCTTTGGCTTTTAGAAAAAGGCGAGGCTTTTCTGCCGACTCACGGCCACTTTAAAAGGCCTTCCCCCATTCACGCGTGCATTCGTACAGAAACAACAACCAACAGGAGAAAAAAAAGCAGAAGAAGACTACACCCGAACCTCAATTCTGCTCTTCAAACTTTAATAACATATAATTTGGGTCCTTCAATATGTTGTGATGTTAGGCTCTTCTTCGTATTTATTTATTTTTACCTTCCATACACCTCTCAACCTCTTATACAGCGGCTCCGAGTTAGTCCGGACACGCGTGCTGACCAGCCATCAAGCCGGAGCACACTTTCGAAAACCCTCTCAGTTTTTAAACCCTATTACGTAATTGAGCTGTTGTCCGGCTGCACGCGAAATTTGTTCGCCCCAGCATAGAAATTGCGTTCGTTAAGGGGGATGGATGTTTGGATTGGTTGGCGTTTCAAGGGTTGGCGGCGGCGGCGGTGGAAGCGGCGGCTGCTGCTGTTACGAGGGGTGGAAGTGAGGGTGGTGGTTGGGTGACGAGGGGCGGCTGGGCTGATAAGAGCCCGAGAGATCCGGGAGGATCGCTTCGGGACAATTTATAGCGGCAACTTTTAAAACACATTCTTAGGAGGAGAAAACTCGCACTCACCCGTGCATACACATCGACCCAAACCTAAAAGTACACTAAACGGCATCATTCTTTCTTTTCCCTCTTCATTCGCCATACTTTGTCCCTATTTAATTACATTTTCTTTCATTCCTTCATTTCCTTCATTTATTGGATGCCCATCCAGTGTATGCACAACTTGATTATTGGATTCAAACTTGATTAACATCTCGTTTAATAGAATTTCCGAATTACCCCGTAAGTTTATTTAGGTTACAAACACTGAGAATATTTCGACTAACACGACTTTACTCAGCTGAAAAAAAACTTCTGTGAAAAATGAAACAGATACAAATTAACATCACATTGTTAAGATAAAATTAACGCAAATATTTGGACTTCCGACACGCCAATTTAGTTTCATCTAAAAATGTAACAATCACTATTTTTAATTATAAAAGAGAAATATTTAAAATCAACTATAACAATTAAATAAAGTAAATTTTCTTATGGAAACTTAACGTAATAAATAATTTGTCACAAAATATTACATTTTCTAAGATGCAAAGTTATTAAGAAATTTTGCATATGACTGATGAAAACTAACTTTTGAAATGCTGAAAAAAATATAATTTAATAGCTAATAAAAAAAACATTAAAACTCGTTGATAACATTCACACAATATTTTTTGAAATATCGAATATTACATTTCTTTAACTTTAAAGTAGATTTAATTAAATTTAATACATAATTCCACCTTTAATTACGTACTTTTAGAATTATCGCCATTATTTTTATAAATAATTTGATTATTTATAAACATCTCAAAATATATGTTTACATAACAAATAAATAATAATTCTATCGTCATAAATAAATCTTTTTATCGTTTACATTTAATCATCTGTACACAATAATTACAGCATTGTTTGATTTAAAAGATTCTATTATACCTTGTGTGTGATTGGTTCTGTTTGCTTGAATACAAATGTGACTGTTATTTTCGTCGTCGTCGTCAAGGACTTTACCATTGGACTTCAATGTAGGTATTTTTATCTACCTGATGTTTGCGCACGCTCTGGTATCCTCCAACTCGGGTTTCCTATAGAAATTTACGTAAAAAAAAATAACTACATTTTTCTTCAAAATTATTATGATTACCTGTCGCAATTTATATACGTTCAGTTCATTAAACCGTGTTAAAATGTGTAATATATACTAACAATGCGTTGTCTTACATACGGATGCCATGGATCAATATCAAATTTAACGTTATTCAACAGTTCCATTATTATATAAGAAATTATGTAATTGAAATTGTCATTTTATTCATAAAATATTATGTAAAATTGTATAAAAATAATACATGCATTTTATAGTTTATCAAATTTATTATTATTTAGCATGTGGAGAATAGATGTCCAATAATGTAGATAATTTAATGGTAAAAAATGGAAAAAACAAAACATAATTATAAAAAAATATATAAATTATTTAATGGTTTTCTAATAAATATTGAAATCTCACAACAAACAAATTAATTGCAGTATTAATTACAAATATTTCTGTTTTATATGAATTAAATTAATTATAGCAATCAATCAATAACGTGAAAAATATATATTTTTGTGATGAACATAAAATATTAATATAATCGATTATTAATCATAAAATACAACGAATATCCATGTGACTTTTATATAAATAATTCTAAAAAAAAAACAATGTTAATGATCGAAAGCAATAAATAATAAATTAAAATGTAATATTTAAAAGGCTAAATATAAATGTTATAAATACATATACGATAAAATTGATTGAATTACTTATTTAGTCTAATGTTGTCATATTATATATTTATTTAAGTAGACAATTTTTATGGCAAATAGAGCATAAATTGCCTGAAGAAAGAAAGCGTTATAATAAAAAAAATATTGTTTTAAATAATTGTTGGAAAGTATATTTTTTAACCATATATAATCAATGGACCAGATCTAAAAACTAATATTTGATTAATAATATTATAGAATGAATGACTCAATCCAAAAACATATTTGGAATAATCTATTGCAGTTATTAGAATGTAACTGCAATAGTAGAATTTAGTAATTAACATTACAATTAATTTCATTACAATAAATTCCAACGGCGTTGGCACCATTGTAATGTTTTCTATCAGTGTGCATATGTACAGCCTGCTCAAACTATTCTGTTAGTCGATTTTGAACCAATTTATCACAAGAAGATGCGCGTTTTGGATTAACACGAGTAGCAATAAATTATTTTGAAAATTTCTCAATATGTACAATGAGAAATTAAATGATTTTAAAATGTTTCCATGTGTAATTTAATTATTTATTTTATTTGAATGCAATTTTTACTGCATTTCGTAAATCTTTCACGTATTATCTAAGTGCGATATTTTTTATGAAAAATTCAAAGTTACTTAGTCTACCATAAGTTATTTCTCAAGTACTTGAACAAGTTATTCGTGCAATAACTAGTGGAATTAAGAAGAATGGTTATACACCAATAATTATTATAAAGAACACAAAATATATTGACACGCTTATTTACATATTAATAAATAAGTATTTTTCAATGGAAATTACAATTAACTTTTTCAAAACTTTGTTATAAGAGATAAAATAATGTGACATTTATCGCAGTAGTTCCGTCCTAATTAAGATATTTTCTCTGTTTAATTTTTAACTTTTACAAATTTATTTATAAATTGATTAACATATTTATTTCAACAATTCATATAATAAATATTAGAATCATTGACAAAACAAACTTACAAATTTAGATGTGTTTTAATACGAATTTATTATATATTTCAACTTGTAAAATATTGTTAAATTTAAACATAAAGATTTATATGTATTTTATATTCAAATTCGTCTCAATTCAAACTAGCAATCAATTTCCAAGTATTCTCAAATATTATCCCTAAATTTAAAACCAAAAAAAAAAACATAATTTTATAAGTTGGAATATCAACTTATAAATACATATGTCCTCAAATATAATCTGTAGATGTAAATCTAAAAAAAGAAATGTTTTATGTTGCAAAATCAATAAATTTAAAACCAAATGAATAAGTGCGTATTATATTCGAATTTGTCTTATATTCAAAATTTGAAGTATTAAATCCATAAATTTACATTTATTTTATATTCAAATTCATCTTAAAAATCTTTAAAAAACATTCGGATTCAAACTTGCAAAACTAAAAAAAAGGTGCATTTTAAATTTGTCTTATATTGAAACTTGAAAATTTCAATTGTTTTCAAATATAATCGGTTAATTTAATCTTAAAAATATACATGAGTTTTATATTCGAATTTATTGCATATTCCAACATAAATTCCAACTGTCCTAAAATATAATTGGTAAATTCGATGGATTAAAAACTAAAAAATTGAAGCGTTTTATATTCGAATTTGTCTTATATTGAAACTCGTAAATTTTAAGTGTACCCAAATTCTAGAGATAAATATATTTAGATGCGTATTA